CTAATTAGAGAATTTTTAGATGAGTCTAAAAATATGTTCGATTTCTTGCAAAACGAAAAAAACTGCATATGCATCTTACACGTTGCTTTCTCTTAGCAATTCCATTGTTATGTAACACCTCCATTGTTGACACTTCCATTGTTAAGTAACACTTCCATTGTTGATGGAAGTGTTACTTAACATGGAAATTCCTCCCCACGGGGGAGAGGGACAGGATTAAGGCTTAACGCTTCCATTGTTGATGGAAGTGTTAAACCTTAATCCTGTCCCTCTCCCCCGTGGGGAGGAATTTCGAAAAATCCCTTCTTAGTATGCATTCTCGTGACATACCCTAACTGCGTACCAAATTTCAACTTTCAACTCCTAACTGTATGAGCTCTGTGATTATTATTATTATTATTATTATCAACCCATCTTGATTATATATATAGATATAAAACCATGCTTTCTAAATATATGTGTTATTTTTAGCAAAATGGTGCCCAAATATGGTATTGGAGGGTTTATTATTTTTAGGTCTTCTTTGTTGTAGACGAAAGATTTTGGAAATAATTTGTTTTTAACCCGGTTGTAGATATATTGATACTTGGAATTAAAATATCCGGCATTGTGCACTGCTCTGTTGATAATTTGTAATTCTTTATCAATTAATACCTGGGTGGATGGGATGAGGAGAGCTCTGTGAATAAGAGAAGTAATAGCGGAGTGTACAAAGTTTGAGGGTTGGAAGGCAGTTGTAAGGATAATATCTGGCACTTTGTTGTTTTTGTGGTGCACTGCAAAAATTAGCTCCAAAGATCTATGTATTTGCAAATCTAAAAAATAAATTTTTTAGATTTGCAAATACGTAGATTTTTGCATAGATTTTTTACATAGATTTGCAAAAAATAAATTTTTTCTTGCTCCTCCTTTACAGTGAAATTGATAGAAGGATATACTGAAGCTAACATCTGAATAAGTTTGTCTAAATCCTCTGCAGAACCTCCCATGAAAGCAAAATATCATCAATGTATCATAGATACATGATAGGATAGTGGATTGTTAAAGGTGTGTGGAAAATATGATACTCTATATTTCTCATGATGAGTTCTGCCAAAATTGATATAACCTGGATTTGTTTATATATTTTGCCATTGAACTGAAAATAATTATTTTCTGTGACAAATAAGAGGGCCTCACGCAAATGTAATACCTGTGATATAGGGTGCCCAGAGCTCAGTAGTAGTGCATTAGCAAGCATGACAGCTTCAAAATGTGGTACCGATGGATATAGTGAAATAACGCTGCAACATGGAAGTGTCCTATATTTAATTTCTAAATGCTGGCTTGAAGTGTACTATATGTTCAACACAATTAAATGATCTAATAATAAATTAAAACATGAAAGCAATAAATAAACTGCATAAATACTGTATAACAACATGAAAATAGCATTTACTGGTCACATAGTATTGACTTTGGCATCTTAAACAGGGCTACCAGATCCTCCATACGTGTACCATTTTCATGCTTTGCAATAAGTTCCTTTTTCATCTCAATCATTGATATTACAACCTTCATCTTAGGTTTTGTTGCTTCCACACATTTCTCCTATGCCACAGTTAATAAGTAAATGAAATAATGGGCACAACAGAATGTTTCTGCCTAATTTTAAACAACTGTCCTTACTTAACATGAATGTGTGATTGTATTCTTTGTTTAGAAGTTATTTTAAACTTTTTACTTCATATTTTCTTTGAATAAAATCAAGTCAAAATGTCTTCAGATAAAAAGCAAAGCAGTTAAATTATGCTTTGCGTTTTGGAAAGGACATAACTGGTGTTGCCACCTTTTCAAAATCGCTGACCTGGACAGCAGGTCAGGTTTGTTCAAACAGAAGTTCCTGGCACATGCACAATGTCATTTTACAATGCAAAGAATAACATGCATGCCAGTTCTAAATCAGTTATACAGTAGTTAGGGACTAGGGACTTGCATAGGAGTAACATAAGTAACCTAAATTAAGAAAGAACAGATACAGATAACTTAGCTCATAGACATGTACAATTGTACATGAAAAAAAAAGGTTGAAGGTCAACAGGTTGCGTGCCACATGTCAGCATAAACAGATTAGCATGGCAGAATTGCAGATGAGTTTCAGGTTTAAGTGAGTGTGAGTTCTTACAAATTTACACTATTTTAACAATGAAAAAAATATTTGTAAGAACTTTGTTTCTTCGTAATTTCACAATTTCTACGAAATTCCCGGACAAAATTAATAGTTCACCCAAAGAGTGAGTCAATTCCCAGACTTCTGGGTGAAAACTGGATGGGTGGTAACACTAGACATAACACTAAACAAACATTAAAAATATTTTTTTTTTTTAAATAAACTTTTTTAAAAAATATTTCTTCAAAAAAATTTATGAGACTTCATAGGTTAAATCCTAAGAAATTAACCAACGATTTTTGTCTGGACCGCATTTTATCAGAGACAAAAACTTCTGAGTGTTATCTTCGTTATTCTTTATTCACTATGCATTTCGGATGCAATATTTTTGTGTAACTTGCACTCCTCACCAGGTGTTACATTTCTATAAATTGATATAAATTTGATTATTACAGTCACAGGTTCTCAAACTTATTTCAACCACTGCCCACTTAAAAAATCTAGTGTCCCCATATTTAAAAATCTAATTTTTAAATTAAAAGATTAAATAAATCTAGATTTAAAAAAATCTAGTGCCCCCATATTTAACTTATCTTTTTACATTACTATCTGTTGAATATCTTAAAAACAGTTATTGCAAATATAATGCTTAAACATGCATTGTTATATGGATAGTATAGGTAGGATGTGACCCATATTCTATTTCTGAGATCAAAGAATGTTTCAATGAGAAGAAATAAAACTCATATTTAATCACTGAGCCTTCTACTGCCCATGAAAGTCTCCAGCGCCCACAAGGGGGCATTATCGCCCACTTTGAGAAAGGAGGATCACAGTAATTACACTTTTCTCATTGATGCACAATCAATGAAAAAAGTGTAAAAATAATCCACAGGGAAAAAGACAGTTATCTATATAAATTCAAAGAACACTTTGCAATTGTTAATAAAAACAAAACTGTAAACCTAAATAATGGCATGGAGGTTGACAACATATGGGAGGAAATGGGAGGGGCTAGAAAACAGAAAGAAAGAAAGACAGTTAAAAATGCCTTAGGGAATACAACATCAACACTGCTTAGCTGTATATGTCTAAATATAAAACAAATTAGTTCATTATTTTGTAAATATGTTCAAATAATGGAAGTTGTAATAGTTGATGTAATTTGTAAAATTGTAATTTTACTGTAATAATCACTGTAATAATCGAATTTATACCAATTTATAGAAATGTAAAAACTGATGAGGGGTGCAAGTTACACAAAAATATTGCACCCGAAATGCATAGTGAATAAAGAATAACGAAGATAACACTCAGAAGTTTTTCTCTCTGATAAAATGTGGTCCAGACAAAAATCGTTTGTTAATTTCTTCAGATTTAACCTATGAAGTTTCATAAATTTTTTCTGAAAAAATATTTTTTAAAATAATTGATATTTTTTAAAAGAATATAAAGAAAACAGCACCATTGATATAATACATATCTATTATTTTTATATTAAAAATATTCATAATGTGTATGGGGAATATGCTCCTAAACTTTGACCATGTCAAATGTGGTTTGAAAAGTTCCATTCAAATTTCAAACTAAAAACTACAAAACCCATCAGACACCCAAAGCTGTCATCAAAGAAAAATTGTAAGAAAAAATTATTAAAAATCAATGAGTAATACACAATATAAATAACCAAACACACCGAAAATAAAGCAAAAAACACACTGAAAACATACAAGCATAATGTGAGAGCAAGAGATAACTTGGCACAATAGATTGAATTTATGCTTCAAGCACATTTTTTCACTACATGTGCAGTTTGAATTCTAAAGCAAATTTTTGTCAAATTTAGCATTAAAACTCTGAAGCACTCAAAATTAGTCATTAGGAATACAAGATACCATTTGTGCATGTAATAATCTCTTTGTAAAATAGAGAATATATTTAAAAAATATATGATATTGACAATTAAATACAGAAATTTTTTAAGTCTATATTTCATCCTAGATATTTTAATCTTTATTTTACAAAGTGACTTTTACAAATAACCAATGCCTCAGAAATTTTTAAACAATTTGCAATAAACATAGATGAAGATGAGCTTACAACTACTAGGATTAATTGTGTTCTAAATATTCATTCACAATCACAGAAGACTTCAAAAATTCTTCTGTATTTACTCAATATTATACATTTTTTCAACAATTTCTTGTTTTGCAGTTTGTGATTTTTATAAAAGTTATAGTCTACTAATATCAGAAAGTGATTTTTGGCCTATATTACATTGCACTAGAAGTTTATTCATATTATTATTATTTATCACAAAATTAACTGAAAAAAAAAATCACATTTTATAAACAAAATTTAGATATTAAGAAAAAAATTATTAAAATTGTTTACAAATGATTTCTAAGGAACTGAAAAAACAAAGATTTCAATAATTCAAATATACATTTTAAAACAGTTATTTATTTCAACAACCTAGCATATTTTCCTGAATTAATAATTACATAAATTCTGTTAAAAATTTTATGGATTTATTGACCTACAAAATTTCTTATCTCTTCTCATAAGTTCATTTGTGGTAAAATAAAAACAATTATTAATAAAAAAGAAAACAATAAAGTTTAAAACTAAATCAAATTAATAAATGATAAAAAATTATTAAAAAATAAATGTAATATTAAATGATATTACACTAACAAATGGACTGCCTGTACAAAAATTTCATCATAAAAAATTTACTATAAATTCTTGGAATAATGTCATAGCAGCTTTTATAACATTTGTAAAACTCACATCGACATATAACTTATGACCAAAATAATAAAAGAACATTAAATAAAGAAAAATTTACCTGAAAATTAGGCATGGTTTGTTTAAATGGTTCTAATTTTTCTGATGTTTGCTCTGGAGGAGGAGGAGGTACTTGAGTTAACTGATCTTCTAACGGTTGTTCAGCAATAAAACATTCATTTTCTTCACAATCATCAATCTTTAAAAATATATCATGTTGAAGAACTTATTATAATTATTCTTAAACTAAATCAACAAGAAAAAAATTTAAGCAGCTATTTTTAACTATAGTTACTCTAAAAGGTAACATTTCAAAAACACACTAATTTTATATTATTTTTTCAATATCTTTATTCTTTTACTAAACATAAATATTTTCATACCAACTACTTTTAAGAATATATTTTTAATTAGTTTAAAAACTTTTACCTAAATATAATTTATTGATTTCATTAATATATCATGTATTGCCATCTTTTTGTTAAATATAAATTTAGATGTTTTTCTGATTATCTAAGAAATTTTCTCTATAACCAATTTTGAAAAACTTTATTGTGATTTTAATTGCCTAAGAAGCAAACTACTATCAATTTATAATGATATTACAGTAACAAAAAATAGATAAAAATAATTAAATTTTTTTAAATCTCGAAATAAAAATATATCTTTGATAAACTCATGTTATAATTAAAAAGTTAATTTACTAACTTGATTAATAATGTTGCAACACTGTTGTTAAAATTAAGTTTCAAAATGTTTTAGTTTTCATCCTCAGTAAAGAAATAGTTTCTTATTTTTATTAAATTATAAGTTATATTAAATGATTTTTCTACTGTATCTTTGTATTTATTATTTACATATTGAAAAAACAAACTTAGCACCAAAGGAACAAAATACATAGAAATATTTTTTGTTTTGTCATTTATACGAGGGCTGTTCGGAAAGTTCGCAGCCTCACATAGAAAAACAAACAAAATAATGTTAAAACTTTTTTCATTTTTCAATGTAATCTCCTCTGTTAGCAATGCACTTATTCCAGCAATGTTCTAGCTTTTTTATGCCATCACAATAGGTCGATTTGTCAAGGTGTGCAAAATACTCGTTCACTTCAGAGATGACTTCGTCATTTTAGTGGAATCTCTTTCCAGCCAAGAATTTTTTTAGGTTTGGAAAAAGGTGCAAGTCACTGGGGGCCAAATCAGGTGAGTACGTTGGATGTGGAACTAATTAGAAGCGAAGTTCGTTTATCCTTTGTTCAGTGATTCTGGCGGAATGTGCAGGTGCATTATCGTGGTG